AAGTCCATTCTTACAATAGCCATTTCACACAAGAACATCATTTTTTTTTGTCATAACAAAATTGTCACAACCAAAAGAAACTTTAACCCCAATTAACTTTTCCCAAGAGAGAAACGGAAACTAAATTAGTCCGAATGTTGGGCACATGAAGCACATCATTTAGTGATAAAGTTTTCCCCGATGTGAGCTTCAGGAAAACTTTCCTTTTCCATGCACCTTAACGGTTTTAGAGTCCGTCAGGTACACGAGCCTTTCACCATCTTCTCTAATACTCCGTAGTATAGGAGGTAATAGCATTTTTGTTTTTGCAAATATGCTTGGTAGCCCCGGAGTCTACCGCCCACTCATTCACATCATTATTTTTACAACTTTGAGAAACAACCGCAATAAAATTATCATCACTACAAACCAAGTTTAAACTTGATTTTAGTGGGTTGTTGTTTTCCATAGTTGTCTTTTTATCACTAAATAAATGAATAACTTTTTTCTTAAAAAGTGGAGTTAAAGTATGACTTATTGTAAGTAGAAAAGTGGAGAGACTAACCATTATACGTAGAAGACTTTTGTGAGTGTTTATCAGATTAATACGTCTCCCCATGCGGGTGTATCACAGCCTACTTCGCAACGCACAAGTAGAGATAACATAGCCCCGATGAGTGTGGCGGCAACACCTTATGAGATCATATGTGCATGCATATCCAACGTCAATTACTTTCTTGAGATTGTTGTAGGAAATTGGTCGGATAAACCTGCAAAAAGCGTTAGAAAATAATATAGCTCGAGTCGCGTAAACGCTGTCCTCAAGAAAGTATTTCCGACTAGCGAAAATCTTTCCCCAAGATAAAACGAGCTCTTCGGCTTATGCCGGTAACAGAACAACGAGATTAAAATAAAATTAATCCAGCAGAGTTGTAACATATATATTAGGGGATGTTCAACTCAAAAGTAATTTTTGTCCGACTACTAAGTACGAAGAGTAATATTTTCCTTAAGAGCAAAAACGATTGAAATTTTAAAACGAAAAAAAAAACTTTATTCATTTGAAATACTCTCAATTTTTCCAACAATCCCCCACATATTTCAAATGAATGTTTTGAAAATAGTTTAGAAAATTTCTGCTGGATTAAAGGAATGAGACTTTAAGTTTGGTGTCCGTAGACTATGAACCAAACCGAGACGATTAAGTCTTAATAAACCGAACTTTTGGTGAAACATATAGTTTCTTGAACCAACAAGCTACTATTGGTAAATCAGGGTCTTAACGGTCGTGTCTCATCCTGCACAATTTCTCGTTATTACGCCGTTGTGCGCCGTAAGGCCATGCGCGTGCTTGGTGTTCATGAGTGCTCTAGAAGTTTTGTCATGCTTCATAGAGGCGGCCCTACCTCACACTCATATAGGTGATATCATCAAGTGTGTACCGCTTTTGCACACCACCATAAAATTAAGGGCTATGATAATCATTAAGAGCTTTTAGCTCACCCTCTCAAAGAATGCGGTTTCTAGCATATATCTCACATCATGGAAATGAGGAATTTTAGTTAGGCTAGCAGAACTAAATGGAAGACTTGTTATTACCCATTTGAACTTGCTTCATGGGATCTCCAATCACACAAGTTGGGTTTCCATCCCCATTCGTTTCAAAGTGACACTAGTCCCATTTCCTTCGATGTTTCGGTTATCATTTTTCGTCCTAGGGATTCTGTCAACGGAGTAGCTAATTCCTTCTGACTTCATAAAATTAATGGAAATAATTCCATTCTCAAACATCATTGCACCCCTTTTAAGGGTGAATGGATATCCACTATCTTAATTTATCTCATGTGAGTATACTCAGATGTCGTCGTTGTATCCCGGCAATACAAAGGATAATTCTCAATAAAATATAACATCGATGTGACCCTCTAGTACATCGATATGAAAAACTACTAATGCAGTATATAATATTATCAACCGGTGTGATGACAATGAAAAATTGTTGTTGTTAGAGCATCTCTTATGCAACAATGTGCATGGTTCACGTGTGACATGAGAGAGATAGACTCACAAATAATAGTAAGCAAAATATATATCTCCTGATTTAAACAGTCTATATATGTTTGGTACGTTTTTCTCCTCAATGTCAAGAAGAATGTCTAGATGTATACATTGTGATTGACATTGTTATCAAAATTATATAAAACCGTGGAAAGAAAGAGTGAGAAATATCAATAATTTATTTTTATGTGTTTATCTCTCTCATGACACATTGCATTGAAAACGCTCTTATACTATTATACATAGTATTTATTAGCAATATTGACGTTATTATTACGGTTACCATTATTAGTACCGCGCCGGTGTATTAAAAATTAGCTTAGTCCGGCATCTTTACGTTTAATTTTCACTCAGGTCTATCACCTTCTAATCTTACAGCCACAATAGAGTAGAAAAGGAATATCTGTAAGTGTCATTAAATATGCAAATTATACTCCATAAAGATGTTTTTATTTAATAATAATGAAATAATCCTTTCAATTATGCAAAAAAAGTATTACGAAATACGTAGTACTATGTTTACTATATACGAAGTAAGTAATAAGTGTATTAGTGTAATATCATGATCGTTATAATATAAAGTTGTACATGATCGGTGTTACTGAAGTTACTTTAATGAAATGATAAAAAAAAAAGATTGCTCTAAATAGAATTAAGAGCCCGTTTGGTAGCACGAAAATCGGCTGTTTTGGTTGATTCTGCTGAAATTTATGAAGTTCTGGTTGAAGTGGCTGCATTGGCTGATTTTGTTGATACAAGAAAAAAATATTTTTAAAATATATATTATTAATAAAATAAAGAAAAAATTATATGTAAAAATAGCTAAAATGATCATCTACAGTAACTTCAGCCAATACAGCCAGAAAAGTAACTTCAATCTTACTTTTTCAGCTTATTACACAATTCAGCGCGCGAAAGCAAATTTTACGTGTTTGGTGAAAAAGTTGGTTGATAAGCCTGATAAGCCGAAAATGAGGGTTGCCAAACAACTTTTCAAGTCAAAGATGTTAAACATTGACATATTATATACTCCGTATTTATACACGGTAATATTGATAAATATGAAAATGATATTCAAATGTTCTTTATTTAAAATATTGTCATAAAAATATAAATTTATTAAGTTTCATTTAAATATATTAATTAAAATAAGGAATTTTATCAATTCAAGACTTGAAAGATAAATAAATTATCAATGCGGGATCCGAAAGATAAAATGTATCGATAGAGAACCCGAATGATGAAAAACTTTTAATGTAGGAGCTATATGTTTTGATTTGTTTATTTTTTATAAATTTCATTGCTAATTTTTGATAAACTTTTCTTCACAAAAGTTTATTTGTTTAATAATACAAAATAATATTTAGAATTTTTAAAATAATTAAACAATAAAATTGATGACAACGTAGGTCGCCCTAGATTGATAGTTTTTAGAGAGATTTCCCTAAATGGGACTAAAATAGAATAACATTGCACAAATAAGACAGTCATGTTTTATTGATCAAAATAGGACCAAAATTGTACCGATGGACAAAATTACCCTTAATGAAACAAAAACAAAAACATATTCAATAGGGCCATGATCGCTGCACCTCCACCGACTATTTGCAGCAAGACCTCTCCAGACCGTCATCGCCACCAATAATACCCTCCTCTACGCCATTCATCGCCACCAAGATCGTCGCCGCCACTTACCGGCGAGGTCGCTGTCGCTTCCACCGACAAGACCGCCGGTGTTATCCTCTCCCTCCGGTGAGAATAGTGTTACGGTGTCATCCGTCACTGTTAAGTTCTTCCCTGGAGGTGTCGACATCTTTCTTGTTGGGGCTACCTCCTCTGGAGAGCAAGTTATCAATTTCAGGTGAAATTGTCATCACATAACATCCAAGACAAAAACATGTCATTTTTAGATGCAGAAACATGTCATTTTGAGATTACAACATGACATTTTCAAAGACAAAAACGTGACATTTTTAGATGCAAAACATGTCATTTTGAGATTACAAATTTACAACATGACATTTTCAGATAAAAAATATGACATTCTCATGTCATAAAAATGTCATCATTTCTCACAAATGTCAAAAACATTGCTTTTTCAAACATATAATACTGCCATCTCCAAAAAATTGCCATCATGTCTCCAAAAAATTGTCTATCATGTGGCATTTTTTAGAAGGTGAATGACATACATAATAAAAAAACCAGACCAATATAATATCGAAGGACAACTGATAGAGCCTCAAATTTCATATCCAGAAGTCCCAAATCCAAAATTTTCAAATTAAAAAAAAATTACATTTTGAATCAAAAAAATCAACAACAAAAATTAACACAAAAACATTCTAAAATGAAAGAGCAGAGAACATAAGAGAATAAGAAGAAGATGAAGAAGAGGAGGAGGAGGAGGAGGAGGAGGAGGAGGAGGAAAAGAAGAAGAAACACTTACCTGGACATATTTCAACCAGAGTCGTGGAGCTTGGAACCGGCGGACATGGGAGAGGTCTGGGCGATCGACCAGAAAAGGAGGCAGAGGAGATCAGCAGAGACCGATTGATATGCGAGAGAATTGGGGCCATTGATGCGGAAGAGAGATGCCGATGCATTTAGGGATTTAACATATCAGGGGTAAAATAGTAATAGGGAGTCCCATTTAGGGAATTTAAAACATTAAGTCCTAAGTTGGAATATTCAATATGTTTTAGTCCTAATTAAGTCAATTTCTTTAGTTTTTAATCATGCAGCTCCTAAATTGATAATTTTCCATCATTCGAGTCATATATCGATACATTTCATCTTTTACGTTCCGAATTGATATCTCATCTATATTTCAAACCCTGAATTGATAAAATTTCTTAAAATAATGTACCAAAGTTTAGCATCAAATGAAAAAAGTAAAAGATGACCAAATAAAAAGGAGCGAAAAAAACGTACATATTTTGTTTCTCCATTTAGAGAATTTGCTTTATTATACTAGGTACGTAGTAGGAGTATAACTAATCGATCGAAAACGAGAAAACACATGATGATATGGTATAGTGGAGGGGTTTAAAACGAAAAAAGGATGAGAGGAGCATCCCTGGTGATCTTCATCTTCCTCATTGGAGTTCTCTCCACATGCATTCTTAATTCCTTCTTTACCATATATCTGGCCTTCTTCCACTACTTCTCCTCCTCTTTTTATCCTTATTATCGTAAGACGCCGGAAAGTAGTTGTAGCAGCAGTAGTAGTTCTTCATTTTCATTATCATCATCATCAGCCACGTGTCCAGATTACTTCCGTTGGATCCATAAAGATCTGGGGCCGTGGAGGGAGACGGGAATCACCAGAGAAATGGTGAGCAAGGGCATACCGGCGGCAACTTTCCGGCTGGCCATAGTGAACGGAAGTGCGTATATCAGGGGCTACCGCAAGTCGTTTCAAAGCAGAGACTTATTCACCGTCTGGGGTATTTTGCAGCTGTTGCGGAGGTATCAAATACCCGATTTGGAGCTTTTGTTTAACTGCGAAGACGAACCCGCCGTGACCATCGGTCGTCCGAATGGCACTGCAGTTGTCGAACTCCCGCCGCCGCCGCCAGTACCGCCATTGTTTGGCTACTGCACCAGTGATTCAACTTTGGATATTCCTTTCCCAGATTGGTCCTTTTGGGGATGGTATAATTAATTCAATTTTAATAATTAAATTTTACATATATCCCGAAACTACTTTAAAATATTTATAAAGTTGCAAAACTCATATTAGTATATTCAATCAAAAATTCATATCCTAATTAAGTGAATAAAATGAAATTATTTCACCCCAAAATATTGATTTTGCAAATCAATTTGCGCTGACAGAGGGAGTACATACTACCTTCATCCACTAAAGTATAACTTTTGTAGCTTGCAATAGATCAGGTATTAAAAATGTCATAATATATCAAATACATCATTTTTATTTTTAGTATGTTGCACTCAAATGGTATTACAATAGATGTATTGTTGTAATTTATCATTTTATTGTAGCATCTTTAGGTACAATAATGTTACAATAGATATCACTTCGTATATTATAGCAATTTCAAAGGTGCTACAAAGTGGATGCTACAATAGTCAATTTTTGTATTAGTGTACATCCCTTTCAAAAAAAATTAAAACTTTGAATAACTATATATTTTTATTGAAAATTATTTATAATATAAAATTAAAGGGATATGAAAATGTTCTTTTTATTTCCTATTATATTATATGTATAATTGGATGGATTTGGTGTTTAAATGTAACACCTTTTACAGTATGTTAATAATAGTGAGTAATGATGATGAATAATTTAATTGGCAGGCCAGAATTAAATATTAGGTCATGGGAAGGAATGTCAAAGGAATTGCAAGAAGGGAATAAGAGGACAAAATGGGTGGAGAGGGAACCGTATGCATACTGGAAGGGAAATCCTTCCGTTTCTAAAAGTAGGACGGATTTGGTGTTTAAATGCAATGCCTCATCACCATCCCATGATTGGGGTGCTCGCCTATTTGCTCAGGTACAAAAATATAGTACTTCCCTCCAGAAATAATCGTCCTGATTTGATCTTCACAAAGATTAAGAAAGTGAAGTTGACACTGTTTGACACTATAGTGTTTCGCACTGTAGCGACACTGTTTGACACAGTTTTACACTGTTTGACATTGTTTTGTATAGATTTGTTTACCAAATAAAGAAAGAAGATAATTATTTCGGGACGTATCGAAAAGGAAAGCAGGACAATTATTTCGGGACGGAGGGAGTACTACTATTTGAGATGCTTCCGGATGTCATTTTATAATGAAATTGTGTGAACATGTTCTTTTTTTTTGTGTGTGTGAACATGTTCTTCACGAAGTATAAATTATATCAACAAAATTTCAGGTTAAAATTCAATTGGGAAGACGGTTAAATATAAAAAATGTAGTGTTTTCCAATAATTTATTTAACTGACTCCACGATTGAATTTTAGAACTCGTTTGGTAACTCTGTTTTTTCGATTATCAACCAACTTTTTAATCAAACACGTAACTTTTGATTTTGTGCACTGGATAGTGTAATGATAAGAAAAGATAAGGTTGAAGTTACTTTTCTGGCTGTATTTGCTGAAATTACTGTAGATGAACATTTTAGCTATTTTTCATATAATTTTTTCTTTAGTTTATTAATAAAATATATTTTAAATATAATTTTTCATAAATCAACAGAATCAGCCAATATAGCCACTTCAGCCAAAACTTCATAAATTTCAGCGGAATCAACCAATTCAACCGATTTCAGTGTTATCAAACATGCACTTAAGCTAAAATAATGTGGCACTATCTATAATTCATGGAAAATAAACTTACAAAATTTCATCAAAAAATATACCGGAAAACACCTCAAATGGTTTGCCGGACGCACTTCCCATACATCCAGATGTATGAGAATATTTCTCTTCCAGGCTATATAGTAAAAATGTAACAGAATATTTAAACTACTTGTCGTCAATTAAAGTTGATGTATATATTTTCTATACCTAAAGATCAAATGAGAGGTTAGTTAATTACTCTCATAGGCTCATATTCATCTCAATTATTCGGTTGTGATATTCCATATTTGATTATTAATCACTTATCTTAATGAAATTGCTACAAGACTGAAATATAAATGAGCAACGCAATTGGAGTTTTTGTTATGTTACAAATTATACTAGTTTAATCTAAATGAAAGAATAAGAAAGTCAATATATTTTTTCTTAAGGAGTGAATAAGTTTTTTTTAAAAATGGTTATATTAAAAAAAATGTGTTATCTTTTAATGGAATTTTCTCTCTTTCATTATTACAGAATTGGACCAGGGAGGAACACGAAGGATTCAGTAGCTCCAACTTAGCTAGTCAGTGCACTCACCGGTAGGTAGAATTGAATTAGCCCCAACAAGTATTTGTTTGTTGGCTAAGTTGGTATATATTGAGTTTTTCCCTAAAATATTACTAATAAAAAAAGTGACAAAAATATGACTTAATAATTTTTAGTGACTATAAGTGTGTTCAAAGGTTACATCATGTATTGTCACTACATCACAGTAACTTTGAACACAAGTATAGTCACACTTTTTCCATCACTTTTCTTGAATAAATATTAGTTAAATTTTTTCATATATTTATCATATTAAAGCTTTTTCAATTTTGTTTGAGAGGGAGTTTAAACATGCCTATAGTGTCTACTTCTTCCTTTCCTAAAAAATGTTCAAGCTTGTTTACATTTGACTCGCAATATTTGAAAGTTAAATCTTCCGTCTCAATATTTAAATCATTATAATCAATGAAAATTCACATATTTCGAAATTACACTACTTTATGAGTCGCAAAGAAAAATTATATTCTCAAATCAAATAATAAAACGAAAGTTCCTTGACTTTTTTTATGAAAGAAGAAACTTCCTTGACTTAAAATAGTAATAATGTAATATTGTACATTGTTTTGGGACCAAGCATAAATGTTTGTGTTAAGCATGCCGCCAACGTTCATCCTGAGCCATTGGCGGACATACATGGTGACATGGTCATATCTAGGGGGCATGTCACGGCTTCGGCCTAGCTACAACAATTTTATAGATAAAAGACTTAGCACGGAAATATATTTGAAAAATCTAAGTGTACAGACGCATTCTAATATATCTCCTTGTCTGTGTTAGGTACAAGATATACATTGAAGGAAGGACGTGGTCAGTGAGTGAGAAGTACATATTGGCGTGCAACTCTCCAACTTTGCTGGTGAAGCCAAACTACATGGATTTCTTTAGCAGAGGGTTGGTGGCAATGAAACACTATTGGCCGATAAGGGATGACGGGGAGAAATGCAGATCGATAAAGGATGTTGTTTATTGGGGAAATACCCACCCTGAGCAAGCCCAAGAGATTGGGAGAGCTGGAAGCAAATTCATAGAGGAAGAGTTGAAGATGGATTACATTTACGACTACATGTTTCACCTTCTGAGCGAATATGGGAAGTTGATGAAGTACAAGCCAAGTCCTCCTTCTGTTGCAGCGGGAGATGATGATGATGAAGAGTATCAACTCATCACTTCAGAACAGATGCTTTCTGTTACGCCGCCACAAGGACTCTTGAAGCAATTCATGATCGAGTCTCTCGTCAAAGCTCCCTCCATCACACCCCCATGCACCATGTCATAATGATGAGGTCTCATTCATAGTCATCATTTCACTTACCTAGCTAGTTCCCCTAAATAAACCTCACCTAAGTACCTAACCATCCTCAATTCTCACCATAATTGTTCTCTAAGTTCAGTAACATTTGATCTTATGACTATTGTACCAATCTTACATTCGTACATAACTATTGCTCCTTGCCATCAATGATCATTCTCACGAAATTCCTGACATCTCTTGGAAAATATTAAGCACTCAAAATTTATGCGAGCAAGAAACAATAATCATGTAGCAAAAGTAACAAAGTTGAATACATGAACCTAGTGTCGTAATTGTATAGTATTCATTGGGAAAGAGGTGAACATGGACTCTGGAATGCCACTAGCTTATAAACATGCTCATCTAATTAAGCAATCAGAATCCAGAAATAAAACAACCGGTTCCTATGATGTCTTAACTTTTCCACCAAGACCCAAGGATTTCAAATCCAGAAGTGGACTGTGTTCAAACCTTCCCAAAACCTATGGTGGAAGCCAATAAAAAATCAAGCTCTTTGTAAGGGACATTCTAATAATATCAAATAGCACTCTACAGTCTCTGACAAACGTTTTGTGGGGCAATTAGTAAACTTATACCTTCACTGAGAGGACAAAAAAATCACTGATATCAGACTATATCAAGTCAGCACTACACGCTGATATTTGGGACGAAGCCAATATTCTGCACTACATAAGATGATATGTTTCCCCCGCGTTTTAGGGTCGGATATTTATAACCAGGGCAGGGGTAACTATCCACCCTTCCGCCTCCTCCCCCTCCTCCCCGCTCCATCGGATTGTCATAAATAAAAAACGGTGAATACAACAATGCTTAGAAGCGGTACACTTCACAGTCAGCAGCAGCAGGAGCTAATTCCTCAGATTAAAGGGAATAAAATTGTGAATATAAACACTCCCGAATTGTATAATATTCTTCAGAGAGTGGACCCTCAAGAACGATCTGTTGAGTAGCAGCAGCAGCAGCACCCTGTAACCATTGTGTCTCAATGTCAGAATCAATTCAAATTTCATTTTGAGATAATAGCAAACAACATGGAAGTGATCAAGGGTGCATCCATATTCATTACTAAATCACTAGTCACTACAATAAAGTTTCTAGTCATAATAGAGAAGCATCACCCTTTGGCTTGCATCTCCTATTTTTCGCAGGGTTACGTACTCCCCACACCTTAAGGCTCCACCTGCAAATTCTACCTGGAAACACAATTTCAACATTATGGGCATGAGGATGATGATAGTAATGATAAATAATAGTTTTAACAATAATATTAATAATAATAGCTGTAATAACAATAATAATAAGCCCAAAGGTTAAAACTAAGGCATTTTTCCATACCTGTATACCCTTGTTCGCAAGAAACTGCTTGAAATCTGACAATTTCAGGTCTCCAACAAGTACTGTTTTATGTGGTGGAGCAGGATGCGATAGGGGGAGTAAAGACAACACGCCAGTCTCCGTCTTCCCCACTTCAGCATCAACCCATGCTATTTCGTAGTCTCCAAGCTACAATTACAAACACTACCAAATCAAAGATACGTGGAAATTGGGCCCAAGAGAACAATTTAAGACTGCCAGTGTGGCTTGGGTATTCTAATGTGTCAATCTGGTATATTGCTGCCCAGGTTTTGGCATATTATGAACCCGAAAATTCAGGGCAAAGATTTAAAGCAACTATGACAGATTGCTTACCTTCTTAAAAAGCACATTGCTCATTAACTTCTCTGAAAGTTGGACCTATCACAGAAAAGACCAGAAAAAAAAAAGACAAAACTTGAATCAGTATCGCCCGCTTTAAAGTGATTGTCCAGGATTTAATCTGAAAATACAACCTTATATGCGCACAAATCTGAAGTGACATCAATTGTTTCTTCAATTTGGGGGGCATAGACATGTGTGCACACATGCTTGAGACAATGTTGTTTCAGATGCTCCGTTGCTTCGGCTGTACCATGTACCAAAACCTAGAAAAATGATAATTGATTTTTTAAATGCAAAATTAGGGTACACTAGGTTGCAACTTACTGTATCGACATAGAAAAAAAGGATGTAATTTGAGAACAAGCTAATATGAAGTTACTCAAGTCGTTTAAGGTGACTAGGTGAGGCCTCCACAGAGCACACTATCTCAGTAGGTAATAGTATGGAAATCACAAAAATGAGCTACAATATGACAATCCGACAATATACCCACTACTTGCCTATAAATATTACAGAGTATCAGATTGGAGAAAATTAAAGGCTTAATGAGATACCATATCTTATCACAACTCACTATGGTTTAATGAGATGTCATAAGTTATCAAGACTTATGATACATATCAAAAGTTATCACAAATTCACAACTCATAATAGATTCCTCAAATTGAAAGGTGCAAGGATTGAGATGTAATTATTTGTAATGTTCTGGATTTTCATGAGTTTGTAATACAATAAAACAGGCCTTCAAAATTAAGACTAGGATAAAAAGCACGGCCCAAATTGCTTAAAACAATATTGACTGAAATGAGACTGATGACCAGATCGAAGGACCTGCAACTGATATTCATAAACCCGCAGCTGCAGCAACACTGCTTAGAAAGATGAGCAGAATATCGTAGTTGGCGGTGGAGATAGTTACAACCTGCAGTTTCCGAGAAATGACTTAATTTGGTAATTAGTTTTCCATTGATTGTATTTCACATACTCCCTCCGTCCCGCAATTAAGTTACCACTTTCCTTTTTGGGTAGTCCCTAAATTAAGTTCACACTTCCTTACTTTCCTTATTTGGAAAATTATCTACATCAAAACAGTGGCAAACAGTGCAAAACAGTGTCCAAACAGTGTCAAAACAGTAAAATTTACCCCCCAGTAAATTTATTTCCTTAATATGTGTGAAGTCAAACACGTAACTTAATTGGGGGACGGAGGGAGTAATACTTTGGAAATTTCCCATCAACCCAAATCATTCCTCATACTTCCTCCGTCCCAACATAATTTTCAATTTTTCCTTGATCAACACTATCATTTTATTCTCTAATTTTGAGTACCAATTTGTAAACTTTTTTATTAGGTTTTTGCATTTCAAAGGAACTTTTTGTCTAGTTTCTAGATAGTAATTTTTATTGTTTCACTAACGTGAACATTGTCAAGGAATGATTAACTTTATGATCAGTCAACAATGATTAACATTGTAAGCCATTTGTCACTAAACAATTTGGGATGGAAGGAGTGTTATTTTTCGGATACTTTATGAATTTCCAAGGCCACGGTTGGTGGTGATACTTTATGGCTATCATTGTCTTGACATGGCAATTAGAGGCCGAACTTAGATTAATTTCAGGATTTGATATGTCAACTTTTGGAGGTCGGAATACACACATTTTGGAGGATCATATATGTGATAGATGAGATCATTTTTATTTTATTAAGATTTGATTAGATTATTTAGAATATTTTGTAATTAATGTGTTGTACTATTTTTGTCCCACTTCTCTTTTTTGTAATATTTGAGTGGTAAAATACCAGTTACCCCTATGAAAAGTACATAAATAATTACTACCTCCGTCCCAAAAAGAGATGCAAATTTGACTTTTCTTAGTCAAACAGTCTCGTTTTGTTCACTTAATTTGGATGTCAATTTTTAATTATGTTCTAATTTGGAGTTTACAACTTTGAAGATATTTTAATGTAGTTTATGAATATGTATATTTTAATTATTAAAAATTGAATTAATTATCCATACGGAGGGTTGACTTTTATTATTGGTTGACCAAAAAATGTTGACTTTGCAAAAACAAATTGGGACGGAGGGAGTATTAAATTTCTCTTACATGCTTTTGTGGAGGGCAAACACGGAAAGTCAATAAAAAGGTTATTTTGACTAAAAACTCGTGAATCCAAATTAGGGACTTAGTTGCGGGACAGAGGAGAATTTAGTATGTACCTTAAAGGGTCTTAGTCGATAAATAAGCTTGTATTTCCAATTTGTGGGACATGTTATGCTATGAAAGACGATTATTCAAATTTGAGTTAAACCTTGAAAGGTTTCTGCTTGGAAAACTTTATAGTTTTTAACACTTGCGGAATTTACTTTAGTATAAAGATAAACTGATAGGACTCAACCAAAGCAGCAGAAATCAGTATATTTCCAGCCTACCCTCTTATTCCTCCCTTCCCCTCTATTTATACTACCCGTAAAATTATTTTTATTTATATGAGTACTATTAGCCCGGTTCGTATCATAAAATATATTTGTCTTTAGGATTAAGAAATATAACTTTTAGGTTGCTACGTAAACTAGCATAGAGTTTCAGAGGAAACCTGTGATTTGGTAAGTCGTGGGAATCTTGAACGAGTTGAATTTAATTAATGGTTTGAGTTACCACTTACCACAAGTTGCCGTTTAAGGTATCATCAACTTATATCAATTCTTTCATCAAATATATAAATTAAATAAAAGCAGATCGAAACACAGGAAAGTACAAATGATGGACCAGTAGCAAATTAGTGTGTACGCACAAGCTTTAACGGAGCGACATGGGCGAGAATTGATTTGATTGAACGACCATCGGATCTGCCTTCAAAATCCATGTAAACCAAGGAACATTTCACTGGGACCTATATAAGATGAAAGTACATAACAACAAAATATCAAATAAAACAAAGCAATTGAATTTGTCAATATTTACCAAATTAAAGGTTTTAACTGGATAACAGCCTGGAATTAAAAACAAACTGTTGCTTAATTGAAAATACAAAAATAATCCATCTGTGCTCTAGACTCAAGGTGTATGGGAAAATGTTTAAAAACAATTTAAAACAAACACAAATTTTTCTAATTACATTGGAATGAACGAAACACTTACTGTTAGCTCAGATGATTCAACTTTTGATGGAGTAGTATCAAATATCAGGCTAGCAGATCCTTCATCCAATTTTCCTAGAAGATTTCCATCAACCTAAGAAAAAATTTCTCATCAGATTGAATAATCTAAAAAAGGTAATCCACGTAACTTCAATGAATAGTTTAAACATGTAATCTATATATCTTCTAATAATAAAGTATTATGTCTAATTGTCTACTTCTCTTCAGTTTATTTACTCACAACCATCCTTTTCCAAATGATAAACATATGTAAGAGTAAAATTCCAAGGATTCAAGGTAAATAACCATTTGCAGTTCGAAACTATACACCTTCTGCCCAAATTTTTCTTTCCCATTAATTTTTGCATTGATTTTAGGCAGTAAAGTTGTGAGATTTAATTCGAAATGAATAATTTACTATGAACCACTCAACTGCTCAAAGGAAATTGGAAGAACCTTTCGGGACATTACAAAATAGGATAGAGGATAACATTGTGGTATTCAGAGGGGATATGGTTTTTAAACTATGTTGTTTTATTGATCCAATAAGCCCAGAGAGTGGTGGTGGGTATTAAGGTTTATGAAAAATAGATAGAGTATGGACAGGAATTGTAATGCATTGGGCATTACAGTTAATTAGCATCACATAATAGTTGCGGAGGAATAATCCCAACTTTGGGTTATTTATTTCAAACTAATCAAAATAATTGTGTTAAGCTTCTCAAATACTCCCAGTCCACTTATTCCCTATTTTTAAGTTGGAAATTTTATTAAACTCTCCCTTTCTCTCCAAATAACAAGCCGTCATACTTGTACTAATCATGTTAATATTGAAAACTACCAACAATAATTGAAATCAAGTTTTGTTTGTTTTCATTATCAATTTGTTATTGTTAGATAAACAGAAACAGAAAGTTGAAAAAGACAACAAACGGGTCCAAACTTTTCCTGATTGAAGTCAGTGTTTCGTATGCAGTTTACATAAACATATAAACTTTTGAATTTTACTGTCATATAAACATAAATATATGTTTTAAAACAGAGCATATTTTTATACTTTTGCTGAATGGCTGGATGTGTAAATGCATGCATAGATATGACCGTTTACTACTGTTAGAATAAACCGGGAGTAGTTTGGGGAAGCGTGAACCATCAATTGAGGTTATTTTAAATGAACTCATGGTTAGAATTATTTTGAGTGAACTCATATTCGGGAATATTCTCATCAACTATTCCTTCATAAATTAATACAATCATCAAAGAATAGCAAATAACTCATCAAAGGATGCCATTAATAATCATAAAAATGAAGGATTGAAGATGTATTGAAAATTACATTACCATTAACTCTTAAACATAGTCCTAAGGGCAATAGCATTTGCCTTGCATTATTAACTTAAAATAGGGAATTAATAGATACTGAAAATATTTTTGTGTTTACTGAAATGTATAAACGTATTACGTAGAACTATAATTGTTATACTACCTATGTTCTTAAATAATTGGAACACGTTAAATTTTACAGTATTCACATGCTCTACTTTGACTACATTTTATTTATTAATGTATGAGAAATTTATTTTTTGAAAAATAATGTTAAATTCTTCTAATTATAAATTTCTAAATTGTGTGTTGGCGAACGTGAAAATGAGAGTGTTGCAGTTAAAAAGGAACGGAGGAAGCATTTAGGTTGCTCAGGGTGAGGTCTCCTACATTTTCTAAAAATATCGTGTTAATCGTTTCTCTGAACTTATTCTTTTATTCCCTTCATGGTCAATAGGAACTAGAAGCAAAATGAAAAGAAGAAATTGTGTTTACCAATGATGGCTCCATATGTTCATCCTTGCTCACATAATCATCAGGATTGATGACTTCGCCAAAATCATCCCAATCTGATGAGTTATCATAGCAGGGGAATATTGGTGCGACACTAGAAGAAGGGGGAGCAAACCCATCAATAAATACATCCTTAAAAGCACCAACATGTCTACTGGTAGCTGCAAAACGATCATCAACATTATTAAAGCTACAGTAGATGAAGAATATTTCTGTCTAACATTTGAGAGCATTACTGTTTGAAGGCATATGTGTGACAATAGATGAGTCAATGACCATGGGGTCACTCGTGGTAAGGTCAGCCCCAAGAGATGCTTTTGATTTTTCATCCTTAATCATACTGGCTTTTAGAGCTTCCTCCTTTATCCTAGTTTGTTCTGCCTCATAAGCAGCTAGCTCCTCTCCAACCAAAGGTATTCTCTTGGACATGATAACTTTAACCGCTTTAGGAGGCGGATCAGATTGTAGCATGCGTGCAAGTGTTCCAAACTATATGTAAGTTCAAGAAACCAGACGAAAGAAAGTATCATTAGATTATACAACAAATAAAATGTTTAATTGGCAACAAAATATATGTTTGCATTGCACACAAAATAATTAAACAAATATTTTGTAGTAGACGAGTTATCTTGATGACCAAATATAACAGATAATATGTGTATCATGCATGACCAAGGATGGCAATGGGGGTGGGGACCCATGTGGAACCGCCCCGCGGGGGAAGGATGGGGACGGGGATTGTTACAACCGCCCCGTCCCCGTTATAAAAATACACACACATACATATATATACACGCACACATACATATATACTCAAACATATTTAATTAAATTATATGCAGTATATAACAAACACATACATATACTCCCTCCGTCCCTTATAACTTTGACAACTTTCCTTTTTTGGATGTCCCACTAACTTTGACACTTTCCGTTTTAAATAAAGAATTTGTGGTTCTAGTTCATTCTCTCTCCTCTGCACAAAACTCAACCACACAGTTTTTACTTTATTATTTCCCGTGCCGGTCAAACTTGGCAAAGTTATTAGGGACGGAGGGAGTATATATCAACATACATACGTTTATGTGTGTTAGTCATGGTTAATGAATGTAATTAACATGTGCTTGTATTATACCAGAATAATAATAAGTACTCCCTCCGTCCCATTAGAAGGTTCTCACTTTCCTTTTTTGGACGTCCCATATAAAGGTTTTCATTTCCATTTTAGGAAACAATTAACAATCTTAATTGACAAACTAATCATTAAATATTAAAAATAATACATTTATAACATCACAGTCATCAATACTAACTACATTATAATATATACTTATTAAAATTATTTCTCTGAATATACCCGAAGTACTTTATTTAATTATTGCCTAAATAACCGTGCCGTTTTGCTATGGAAACCTTCCAACGGGACGGAGGTAGTAATAACTTACAAGATTCATCATAAATGATACTAGTATATGAATTTTAATAGTGAGAAAGTGAGGAAATAGAACACAGACATAAAAGTATAGTATATATAATAATTGTATTATAACTGATGAGAAATTTGGAACGACATACATGATGGTAATATGTTTACTTATATTTTTACTTTTATTATCTTCACGGAACTTATTCAAATTGAAGAATTATTAAAAATTGGCGGTATTAATTAACTTTTATCAAACACAATATTATCTAGTTTAACTCTTTTAGTGCTATATACGGAGTGTGTTTGTAATGGATTAAAAAACATACAAATAAGATAATAAAATTTATTTGGGGCACCTGCGGGCACCCGTGGAGGACAACGGGGTGGGGTAGGTCTGGGAGTAACAGGGGATGGGGTGGGGATGGGTAGAACTATTTAGACATGGGGCGGGGATGGGAGAGTTAACCCCCGCCCCAAACCCGCCCCGTTGTCATCCATATCATGACATGGGAGTAAATCCACATATTAAAACAAGAAGTTGCAGCAAGCATTTTTTTCTGAGGTGGGATATTTAGAAGACCATGAATGCAAATAATGTGCATCTTGATAAAACATACTTCCTCCGTATCATATTAGTTGCAACATTGAAATTTACACACTATTCATGTACACTACTTTGACTACATTTTATTTATTAATGCATGTGAATTATTTTTTTTGAAAAATATTGTTGAATTCGTCTCATGACAAAGTTTCATAATTTGATTTTTAATTTTTTTTTACTAATAGAGAATTAAATAAAATGATGGTCAGAGTTGTTCATTGATAAGCGTGAAAAGGGGAATGTTGCAACTAAAAAGAGAACGGAGGATAGTATGTAGTAATTTTTTATTTGTGTAATAGTTGAAATAAGTTATTTTGCCTTAGATAATATATCATTATATGATTATATCTTTATTGTTAATATTATTGTTGTCCTTGTTGTCATTGTTGTGGTTGTTGGTGGGGTTTTATAGTTACCCTGTATTTTTTTAAAGGTGGTATAATTGTAATTGTTGTTGTTATTAATAAATAATCTAGTAATATTCTTATTCTTACTATTGTTTTTGTTGTATATTATTCCTATTTTTGATGTTACTGGTATTATTAAAATTAGTAGTAGTAACAACTAATCATATAAAGATATAGAGAAATGAAACATATTACAAACAAACAACAAATATCGGGAGTTCGTGCAGCCATGCTGTAACAGGAGAACGATAAATGGATAAATAAAAAGGAACATGTGTGGGGGCTCAGTGGCGAAACACTAACGAACTCAAATGTGCGAATAGAAAATCATGTAGTTGGGAGTGTTGCTGCCAAACTGCAGAGAGCACACACAACAGAGACAGAACCAAACAAAGAAGAGATCGAAGTTGAAGAAAACAATAATCTAATTAGGCTTAGTAGGTTGAGTTTTTATTTGGCTACATAGTTAATTAAAAACAAAGTGCTACTCAGCTTAAAAAGATTATGTATCACAATTGAAGTAAAACATAATGTCATAGAGCTATTGGGCCACTTCTGCAAGAAATGAGAAGCCTAAGTATTGTGTGCATCGTGACTTCCTGAGTCTATGCCTTATGCCAGTGAAGTTTTCGTCTCTCTCCAACACATAAAAGCTTAATCTCATGCTTGCGCCCACGTGCATCAGGGATTCAGGGATTTCTTGCCCCGCTTCCATGATGCTTGCGAGGACCCAGACCCAGACTCAGACTCAGTCACTCAGACCCAGACACGACGCAAGCGCAGACATAGACACATAGATAAGTGAAAACAAACCTGTCCTCTTTCAGTGAACAAAACAAGATTCCTTGTATCAGTGGCCCATTCAGCAAATATGTCATGAGAAAATCCAGCTTCTAGGCTAGCCATGGATGCCAGAACAACCTAAAAGGACATACTCCAAAATTATAATAACTAATAAGCCATCATCAAGCTAAGCAGCCCATTAATTAAAGAGGCACCAACCTTAGGACCTTCTGGTAACTTCTCAAGCTCACTACTGTTTATCAAAAGTGTGATATGCCTGTCAATTTATGAAATAAATGCCGTGTTAGTTATTGAAATCTATAAAGACCGACTGTCTTGAACTAACAGAAACTGAGTAGAGCACTGCAATTATATGCTAGCACAAACGATTCAAAAAAAGGAAAAAATGGAAAAAATGGGTAACAGGTCTTGAAAACCAATACTTATGATGACATATGAGTTTCGATTCGTAAGAAGGTGGTCGAAATAATGGTCTACTAATTGATACTTCCTCCGTTCTTCTTTAGTTGCACAGGTCCATTTTTCACACTTGCAACACACAAGTTTGACCATTGATATATTTCATTGCTTATTAACAAAAAAACTAAAAAAATCAGATTTTGAAAATTTAAAAAAAGAGGAATTTCACAATATTTTTCAAAAAAAAAAAATGATACAATAATAAATAAAATTTAGTCAAAGTAGAGTATGTGAATAGTGTAAAAAGTTCACTAAAAAAGAAAAATTGAACCTCCAATTTTAAGGGTCCACAACACAATCATTTTATCCACAAGGTATACTGGTATGCATGCAGCATCCCATTAAACCTATCTTTTATAAATGTTAATATCTCAGTCCCTGTGTCTTTTTTATCTCCTGAACTTGACTATGCACGGAGTTTAAGAAATGAAATTGTGTAGTAGAGGCTTACTTAGATAGAAAAAAACAATATAAACCACACAATCCATTCCTTAAAAGAAATGGTATGATTATTTAAGGACGGTGGCCCATGAAGGAAAAAAAGGAAGATAAAAATGACAGACCAGGCATGATAAGGAACAAATAAGCTCCTTAACTATATGCCAAGGAACACATATACCCGTAAATCTATTTTTTACTCAATAAAAGAAAGAAAAGGCAGTCCAGTGCACGAAGACGTCCCGCAAGGCGAGGGTCCCACCACTGTGTAAGGGGCAAGCCTTCCCCTGTCAAATTTGTGACAAGAGGCTGCTCCCAAGACTTGAAACCGTGCGCCAAGTCTCCCCTTCATTTTTTTACTCAATCATTTGTCAAAGTTAGTTTTTAGATTTAAATATACCACTCTTTTAACCCTCTGTTAAACTGAACATCAATCACTCTTCGTTATCCTTCTTTCTTCACTAATGGTTTCTTAAGCCACGTGATTTCTTATCCCAGCACTCAGATCAATATGTCAGATCAAGGTCCAATTTTCCTTGGAATTTCAATACCGGCAACCCTGAATAGTAATATTTCTACTACATTTCAGTTGCAATAAAATCACCAAAGTAATTCTTGGGGAAATCAGAGCCTTATTGGCATTGTTGAGTGTCAATATTAACTGCAACCATCTGCCCTATTTCGACCTGGTAAGGAGGAAAAATTGATCATGTCTGACTATCAAACCCTGTGGAGAAATTCCTTGTGGTTTGGAAGAGAGAGTGGGCATCATGCCACCTCTAGAGATGAACACATGGCTGATAGAGAAGACCCATAATTGTGGCTAAAGAAGCTAAGAGGTTGTTAGAATCTGCGCCGTGCTGAGAAGCCCCATCGTCATTGAAGAAGTTGCCTTGGCATAGCTGCTCTATGACCCCCATGGTTGTGCCTGTGCGCAGAACCAAAACCAGAGAGTTTGGGATTTTGTATCTTTGGTACCTTTTTCTCCCATGGGTGCTACTTTATTTCCTTTTTCATAATTTCATTTCTTTAAATTTATTATGAAATATGCTTTATATGGGTATAACAGAGACTTGGAGCCTTGGAGGGATGGTGATAATCAGTTTTGGATGTCAAAGTTAATGGAGTGGTATATTTTAGACTAACAGTTAGCTGTGACAGAGTTTATAGCCAAAATATAGATTAAGGTATACGTGTTTCCTGGCGTATAGTTGCAAGGTAAATCTGTAACTTATCCCTAAAATAAATGGGAACTGTGCAGAAGTAAATGATATTATCTTACTTCAAAAGAAAAGCATTATCTCGTGTGTCCTCAAAAGACTTGGCTATTGAATCACTCATCCACTCAAGGAAGCTCTTAACAAAGTCAATTGTACTTGATGCAACATATGTGAGAAAAAACACAGAATAGCTCAAGCCCTTGTGATTCCAGTGCTGGAATTTTACATAAAAAAACAAAAGCAATCATTACAATTAGTTGGTGACAATGTGACATGATGAAATGACTACACTTACATACCCATTACCAACTAACCTGTTCTAGCAACAAAAGAAGCTCCAATACTCTACCAGCAGTATCTACCGGTAGTAATACTTTTCCACCAGCATTTAGAGTTTTCTCAATGATGTCTACAATAAATAAACGAATATGTTAGCAAAAGTAATGGCAAAAACATAACCTCCATGCATGTCAAGAAAATCCAAAGCATGAACTACTAGACTGGTAATCGATTTGAAATTTAAGCCGGCAAAAATAGGTTCACATTTGTTTAAAGATGCAAAGTCTGTGTATGTGCAACTGCTCAAATTTATGTGTAATGTGCAAATTAATACAAAGGAAAACTTATACCAAGAAATTCTTGATCCCTCTGGCGTCTTGATGGCTGATTGCTCAAAGCATTATATGCATCAGTGATTAGAACAGCAGGCCGAACAAAAGATTCTAAAATGGTTCCATTTAAATGTCTGATAGAGGCAGGAGAATGTTAGCTTCATCCTTTCTTAAAACTAATGAAGTACTCCAACTATAAAGCAAAAATTATAATGTGTGACCTTTCTTTGCGATGATTGAAGTCCACAGCATATATAACATCTTCCCCATCTTTTGTTATCTTCCAGACAGTACCACCTAGGAGATGACCAGCTACATGTGGAGCAATGACAATTCCTTCACCTTTCCCTGGCATTAGTTAGCAACTTTCAGAAAGCAATAACAAAAGGACACATGTCACTACACACCCCAATTGAGATTTGGTTTCTCGATACTTTGTTCAACTTTTTCTTCACTTGGATTTCTATATAAAAACAAGATACCGCTCTCCTTCTCTCTCCCTCTTTTTTATCTTGTTATGGTCTATTTGTTTCTCATTCATAGGCCCATGAATCCTACTATTTTCTCCTAAATCGCCCCATTCTCTTACAAATTGTTCATGTCAAATCGGAGAAGTTTGTTACTTGTTTTCTGTCTTCTTTTATGTGGATTGTGTTTTAGATTTGTGGTTGAAGCTTCTGACCTTAGGTTTGTATGCCATCTTGGCCAGTTAAGAAAACTTTAGTTGAAATTATTCTCACATTTGGTAGGACCTGGAAGACATTTATGAACTACCCTAAGGTTGCAGAGACAATAAGATTAGCAAGAAAATATCCGGAGAAATACACCTAACAAAAGTTGATAAATTAACAGTATTTAAGAAAACTTTAGCAGAGAAAATAGAATGTCTACCTGACATATGATAGTTTTGAGAGTACGTTAACCGGGTGACATTTTGGAATGCATGGTCGACATCATCCAGAGTAAACAAACCAAAATCTGATGATTGCTACAAAAGGAGTAAAGGAATAAGCAATGTCAGCACGAACAAAATGAAGAACAGATAAACAAACGGTTATTAAAATCCTCAAATTTCAGTTTACCTTCCTCGATAGATATTGGTCATACATAGTTAGAAATCCTAATCTATAAACAGGTTCAGTGGCATAAACAGGCGCGGCTAATCCAAACTGTTTCATGGCATATGGTAGGGCACCAAGGTGGAGCGTGTCTGGATATGAGAGCAGCACGGCATCCACTGTTGATGCTACTCTGAACAAAAGTACAAGATTATTAGGCACATAACACTAACACGGTAGGCTGGTATCAATTAGAGAATGTATAAACAGTGGTAGCTACGCTGGATTCAACAGTGGATTACATTACGTTAACACACATAATTCGAGTTAAACACCTTTAACTAAGGGAGGGATGAAATTGAAGGGTCGCAGTGGAACTCAAGATTTCCAACTTACTATGAAATTGTTGCTGCCTAGCTATGCAATTAAAAAAGCTCCTATCTTACATATCCTATGCAAAGGTACATTCAATTCTAAACTTTCAATGAAGTCAATGACACGAGAACCTAGAAATTTGATAAACTGTATCAGTAAGAGTAAGTGGTTGAGAACCTGGACAGGGGTTGAAGAAGGGAGGTATCGAAGTGGTCGTTCCAACCACAATCAATAAGGAAGTTAAAGCCATCAACGGAGACAAGATACGAGAGAGGGTTTTCATTGTACACTCCACACAATGGCTTCACCTGCACTGACGTTCCCATTGATGATCGATGAGTTTCTCTTCCAGTGTGGAGGTGCTTGCAGGAGCGAGGAATGAGGAAATAGGAATTTTTATCAAAATGGCCTTCAAAAAAGGGCAAGATTTTTAAAATATACTCGTATAATTAATTGGGGTATCTTAACGAATACTAAAGAGAAAAATAAAAAGTAGAAAAAGTAAGGATAGTTGAATATTTTTATATACATCCAAAACAACGTTAAAATACGGAGAGAGTAATAGTGTCATTGAATTGATGAAAAAATGTGATTTTAAATTGTGTATTGTTTTTAATTATTTTTTAAATAGAAATTGGGGCTTCAAAATGAAACGTCCAAAAGAGACAAGTGGGGATCTTACCATAGAATGGAGGGGAGCACCTATTAACATACTATCCTTTTTTCTTTTTTCAAATGGTAAAAATAATTGAAGTTACTTGAAACTTCAAACAAAATGATGATGTTTTATATAACATAGAAAAAGTATGGGAAAATTCCCGAAATAGGATTAAAACGTTTGAGAATTTCAAAATAGGATTGTCATAATTTTATTCCATAAATAGGAGTAATTACTATGTCTTGTTTGAAAAAGACTGTCATGTTTAAAGTCTGGTATTGTCAAACCATGACAGTAATTAGTCATATTTAGGGAATAAAAATATGATATTTGCTTTGGAATAAACAAACATATTTAATCCTACTTGGGCCAATATCCCAACAGTTATGTATGACTTTCAAGTGGGTTTGGTCGAGATTGAACAATGTTGATAATAATAGATCGGTCTAGCCAGGTTTGACATATTCGATCCAATTTGAAGTTTGACCAGGTTTGAAATTCTAACCGGTAGCTAAGTTTGATATTCTATTCTTTTTGTTTGTTCGATCAAGTATGGAATCAAAGATGGTTAAACGATCTCCCCTCATTTTTTAGAAAAAAAATATGACATAAAGTACTTTGGAATTTTATCAATTTAAAACCTTAAAAATTATCAATTTAAAACCTTAAAAATGGATAAATTATCAACCCGGAACCTGAAAGATGAATTGTATTAATATAGGACCCGACTAATAGAAAACTATCAATTTAGGACCCGAATAATTGAAAACTATCAATTTAGGACTTGATAATTTAATTCCATTGCTAATTTTTGATAAACTTTTCTTCACAAAAGTTTATTAGTTTCATAAAACTAAATAATATTTAAAAAAACTAAGATAAAAAAATTAATAAAATTTCGAACAACTTAGGTCCTAAATTGATAATTTCCAATCATTGAAGTCCTAAATTGATAGTTTTCCATCATTGGGGTCCTATATAGATACATTTCATCTTTCAGGTCTCGTATTGATAATTCTGATATCTTCCGAGTCCTGAATTGATAAAATTCCCTTCATCATTTATCACCTGAGTATTATCAAATTGGCACTTTTAGTCCTACCATTATATTTTTGACACAGTAAGTAGAGGACTAGAAATGTCACTATTATGATAGTTGAAGGACCAAAAGTGTCACTTTTATAAAAGTCGAATGACTAAATGTGAAAGCTTTCAAATACTGGTACTGAAAGTGTCTTTCTCATAATAATTGAAAGACTAAAAGTGAAAAAACTCATAATCGAGTACCAAATTTGTAAGTGACATAACAGTTAGAGGACTAAAAGTGACAAAAACTATCTTTATTTTTTATTCCAATTCTTTTATTGTTCTTGTTTCACTTCGATGTGATATGTCTATTATATAAAGTTTATGCATGCATGAATGCGCGCACACACATACATGCATGCATGCATACATACATACATACACACACATATATACATAATTACATGCACACACATACATACTTATACTATACGTACTACATGCATAATTTCTACATACTATACGTACCACATGCATAATTTGTGCATACTTACTATACATACTACATACATACATACATACATACATACATACATACATACATACATACATACATACATACATACATACATACACACACACATACACATACAGACATACACACATACACACATACACACATACACACACACATGCAAACACACATGCATACACACATGCATACACACATACATACACACATACATACACACATACATACACACACACATACATACATACATACATACATACATACATACATACATACATACATACATACTTACTTACATACATACATACATACATACATACATACATACATACATACATACATACATACATACATACATACATACATACACACACACACACACACACATGCATACACACACATGCATGCATACATACTTAATCACATACATACTTACTATATGTATGTGATTGTGTTACATGGGTTTCATAATTTCTCCTGTTTTTGATAAGTAAATGATTTTTCCCCAATATATAGGTTCGATTGTGTCTCCAATGATTTAAAAAAAATATCACCCCACCCCCCCCCCCCCCCCATATATAGGTTCAATTATTCAAAACATGATAGTGTGCATTGAAAAAAAGTTATATCATTTTCCCGTTTTTCTCTATTTATAATATTTATCTCGCATAATGTATAATCATTTTCACGTAAAACAGAAACCTATATACCCATACATTATACAATCATACTATTTTATTTCGCTAAACTTAGTGAGATTGATGGAGTACTAAATAAAATAAAATGAAATAGTGAATATGCTTGATAAAATATTAAAAAATTAGTTGTTACAATTTTTCGTCTTAATAGTACGTGTGTTCACAGACATGTTATGAAAGAGCATGTCGACTTTCTATTCTCATTAATGGGAAAATTGATTTTTTGTAATTACTCCCCTTTCCATTTTTGATGAATAGTCCCATGGTATTGTTGTCCACGTACACTACATATACAAAGATGGTATATTTAAGCTTATTTAAATAATAATAATGACTTAAAGACATATGGAACAACAAAGAAATAGATGGTGTCTTGTATTATTGTACTTATATAAAGGGAATGTGTATAGTTACAAACAAATGCACATAGGAAAGCATTATACGCACGAACAAACAAATAGAGAATGCCAAAATAATAGAAATGATAATTATATTAGGATTTATTACTATATCACTTACTACGTATTAGCTAGCAAGTATGACCACTTAATATATTTTTATAGTGTTTCATACTGCGTATAAATTATAGAGCATATGCATAATTTAGATTATTCATGGTTGTGCTTTTATGGTGTATACATAGCGTTGAGTTTGGGTATATAAAATTTTCATTTTCATGGGTGGGCATTCTCATCGGTGTATATATAATCAAGATGAGCATTTAACACCCTCTTCAAACACTCTTCTTCACCCATTCCCTCGCATATTGCTTCCTTGCTATCAGGTTTCTCCAAACTCGTGGCAATGTCCTAGTGCATGCACATAAAACATACATAAGTAATAAAATTATACAATTAATTATGATGGATACAACTCTCCATTAACGAGATGATCAATTATGGAAGACCGATTTTCTAGTTCGCGATCGGTCTAGATCACTATGTGGAAGAGTGAACGGTAGGGTTCAGACGGCAAAAGTGGGCGTTCATCAACAATAGTCAACATGTAGCATTTGTTATTTTAAATATTGTTATCTATTAAATAGCGAAGATAACTCAAACTAATCATATAATTAAAGGGCAGACCTTGTTGATGGGTCATCCTTTTCGTATTTTTCGAGATAACAACAAACTAACTATTTTATCAGGCTTTAGAATTATTTAAGCGTTCTATATATTTTCTTGCACTTTTCATTTTATCCGTTTTATTTTCCTAAATAAATTATTTTGAAGTTTTATGTTGGATTAGCCTTCATGAGCATTCAAAAAAGTCATATTAAGAAATTACTCTAAGTAGGGTAAAACATACTTCCTCCGCCCCTAGTTGAATTGCAATTTGCGGATTTTAAGGTTGATCGGCGATAAAGTTAGAACATCCCTGGTTAAATCAGTTTTAATAATTAAAGTTTACATATTCGAAAATACATTGAAAGTTCTATAAAGACGCAAAACCCAAATTAAAATTTAAAAAAATTGATATTTTAAATAATTAAATTAAGTGAAATTGTGTTGACTAAGAAAAATTGACTTTGCAAAGCATTTGAGATGGAGGGAACATATTTTTTCTAGGAGTATGATGTTTTTGTTTACTAAATATGGCAACTTATTCCTTTTCTACAGTCAACTACTTTGTTTAGTAACACTTGCTCTTGTATTGAATACATGACACGTGCAGATTATAAAAATGAGTTTTATGTCATATTCAAATGACTATATTGTTTCAAAGAAATGAAAGTTTGTATAATTTTATAAAATGAATACCGTAATAAAGATTTCAAATGAGCATATAATAATGAATATACTCAAATGAGGTTTGTATATTTGCACATGAGTGGGTTTTTAAATTTCTATAAACAACTCACTTTGTATGTAGGTAATGTATGCCCCTTTGGTAATTGTATTATGCTCATTTAATTTCGTAAGTATAATATGTTCATTCTCGACTTGTGTTGTGCTCATTTTAAGATATTATTATATGAATGCTAAGTATTAGTATATCGCTTAAAAGAAACGTGTAGTGATATAACATTATAAAATCAATTATTTTTCAAAACATTTCTCAATAAAAAACTACTAGAGTAATAATTAAGTAAATAAAGTAAATGTAATTATATTAAGGTTATTTTCAAAGTTCTTTGAAGATACCAATATGCATTTAGACTACAAAATTGTGCTGATATTGAGAGCATAATGAAATGGTTTGTCCCTAGAAAATGAAATTTCCTCAAGCCACGTGATTGAGGTGGTTCTCATAGACGAGGAGGTACATCTCTTATTACTTGATTATGAACCCCGTGTATTTTGAACTCCATTTGTTTGCCTTTTTCTTTAAAAGCATATCATCTCGAATCACTAAAATACATCTAAAGACTTATCTGCTAAGCCAAAAGTTATATTTCAACCATTTAGTGTTACTCAAATCTGCATTAGTAATTTAGTACTTCACATTTTCTTCTAGGAATGAAAATGGTGCAGTTTTCTTTACTTCCAACCTCT